TATGTATGAAGAATAAAAATTTTTATTCAAAATTTTAAATATATCGTTTTATCAAAAGTTCAATTGCATTTTATCAAATTTTCTTTTATCAATATTTTATCAAAAACAATTATATCTCCTTTCACATACTTTTTACTCTAATTAACTTAACTCAACTTCGAATGTATAAGAGTCATTTTTACGAAGAGCTTTAAAATTTCAAAATGGAAGCTCCATTGGGATCTAGGGATCTAGGGAGGATCCATTAGGATATCCTTAAAAATATATTTTGTTTCAAATTGATATTCAATTGATTTCGAAATACGAAACATCTTTGAAAAATATGAAAATTTGAGTAAGGAATTCCCGTAAGCACCTAAAATCTTTTTTATCTTAAAAATAACATCAGTGAAACTAGATGAAAGATAGCATTAAGTATATCAGAAAGTTCACGCATGATTTTATATCATTCGTTTGTCAAAGTATTTTCTTTTATCTCTATATTGCATTTACATACATTCCATATGCTGAAAATATGCAGACAAATAAAAAATGGTGAATATGGTGAATATATATATATTATATAGTCATCGGTGAAAAAGCTTTAATATCGGTTATGAAGATTGATAATTGATTTGTATTTTTATTTCAAATGCGAGGAGATAATATTAAAAAAGTGTTTAAAAAAAAGTTTACAAATTTTACATTATTTTTTTTTAAATTATTTTTATAACGCAAAAATAATTTAAAATGATTGGAAATAATTTTGGTTTAAAAGTATATTTATAAAAATTATAAATTTTTAATTTGTATATTTTAATTGAAAAATTGAGATTTCTAAAAATTACGTTTTTTATAAACATTTTTTAAACATGAGATAATTTAATAAATTCAATGATGAAATAAATAATTATAAAATATTTGTTCCAGGTTCTTGTTTAAGCTATGGACATTCATGTTGGGGAGGTACGTTTTCACCTTTGATTAATTGTAAAAGGATTTTCACTATAGCGTGAAAAATTTTTTTCCCTTTTTCTGGCCTTTCCTAAGATAAAAAAAGATTTTAATAATAAATTATTAGCATGTTTTTTTTATCCAAAAATTTTATAATGAATTTGTTTTATATTAAAAATATAAATTATAGATATACAAGATCTAAAGTGAATTATGGAAAAACGTAGACTAATAAAAAAATAAAGAGAATGCAAGAAAATCATATATATAATACAATTTTTATGAAGGATTTTTATGAAGGATATTAATACAATTTTTATGAAATTCTGTTTTTTTTTTTGTATGTGTGTTTCTATTTCTTAAATAGCATATTCCTTTATTAAATATATTATAAAATTATATATAATTATTTTAACATAATTTCATAATTACAGGTCATGGTAAACGCAATGGAGGACATAATAATGGATATTTAATGCCATCCAAGACAATAAATGAACAAGATGTACCATATCTTACAAAAGATCAATTCATACTTTCCCGTTTGATTGGTCGACCATTAGTATCTAACAAAAATAAAGGAAGATGGGACAGACTTTTCAAAATAAAAGCTAGTTTTCCAGAGCATTGGAATGACGATGAATTTGATACCCATCTTATTAACAATGAACCTATTCGGTAAAAAAATATTATAACAAATAAGAAAAATTAAACATTTTATTTATTATTTTATCATGACATATGATTTTTATTTATTACTTATAATTAAACTCATAATTGATTTCAATTAATTTAAAATAAAATTTTAATCATGAAATATTCTGAATGATGAATATTTGAATGATTTTCTTATATCTATTAAAAGATAACTTTCAATTTCAAATTATATCTTAAGATTATGTTACAGAGATCAAAACAACAATGAAAACATGGACCAGAATAAAAGGAAACATATCGAAAATGTGCAGAATATGGCAGGATACGATAATATCAACGACGAAAGGAAAGAAATTCCAGAAATACTACTGATATCGAATAATGAGAATAATCATCATAACAGTAAACCACAAAATGTAGAGTTATTCAAATTTTTGGTATGATGAAATACTGTTTTGTTAAATATACCGCATTGCAAAAACTTAAATATTAGTTGTGATTAATTATGTTAATTATTATTTTCAGAGTAACACAAATGGTAATTTCGAATAAGAGAAACGAATATTGCTATGAAATATGATGTAAAATAAAAATTGTCATAATTATATTGTAATTGAAATAAGAATATTGTAATAAGAATATTGTTTAAACTAATTTATTAGAAATTCTGTTTCTCATATTTAAAATTGAATTACTCGATTATTCTGTTAGTAATTTATATAAATCCTATGATTTTATCTTTTAAAATCTGTACTATCTAGTTAAAGTTTTCATCGCAATATATGAAAAAATAATTTATATTTTTTTTTATTATTTAATAAGAAATAAATCATTTTTATTATATGTTATAGGACGAATATGTAATTAAGTAATTTAAATAATTAATTAATTAATTAATTAATTATTAAATATAATATTTATATTAGTAGAAGTATATAAAATAATAAATGAAATATTACTGATAAGAAATTTCTTATTTTACGATTTTAAAATTTTTTCCTACTTTTTTCAAATCAGATTTTCGTATATTTAATACTGCTACTGCATTATGAAAGACTTATATTTATTAAAATATGTTTTACATTGAAAATTAAATCGCATTATAATATTAAAAAAGAATAAAAGAATGTTCAATTGACATTTCAATTGATAATATTTTATTTATAATTGTGTAACAAAAGTAAAGACAAAGAAAGCAAATAATGAGAAAAGGATAGAAATATGGGAAAAATTAGACATTCAGCGCCATCTCGAGAGCCGTAAATGAAACATGCAAAGAAAGAATAGAAATATATTTAGAAAAGGATAGAGATATGGTAAGAATTAATCGTTAGCGCCATCTCTTGAGAACTAAAAAAAATCATTTTTCTAAATTCTCAAAAGATGGCGCTAACATTTAATTCTTATTCTATTTTGCTCTTCTTTTAAAAATGTATTTAGTACTCAACAGATGGCGCTAACACTTAATTCTTATTCTATTTTGCTCTTCTTTTAAAGATGTATTTAGCACTCAACAGATGGCACTAGTAGTTACTTCTTATTCTATTTCTATCCTTCTCTTATAATTTTCTTTATCTTTTGATATGTTTAATCTACGGCACTCTGAAGATGGCGCTGATTCCCTAATTTTTTACATATCTCTGTCTTTTTCTTATTATCTACTTTTCTTGTCTCTACTTATTATAAATGCGCTCAAGAAACAATTTAAGAAATAGATATTTAACTTTTATTTTTTTTATCTAATCTATTAATTATAAATCTTAATAGAATCTATTTCTTGTTATTACGCAAAAATTTAAATTATTATCTTCTCGAAACCATTCATTTTTTATTTTATATTTTTTAATACTATCAAAAAAGAGCAAGATATTTTAAATAATAAGTAGTTTAGCATGAAAAATATTTAAATTTTACGAAGTTGGTATACGTGAACAAAGTGCCATTAAGTATCAACTTGTCAATTAATATAATTATATATCAGTTAAAATATCGATATAAAGTTCTTTTCCATTTTATTTAAATAAAATCACCACATTTAATTATGAAGTTATTAGTATTTAATAATGCAATATGATTTTATATATAATATAAGTAATCTATGGTGTTTCGCGACAATCAAAAAGTCAAGTTGAAAACACAAGATCTTTATCACATATGGTATGAAAAATAATATTTAACATTGATGTCTTATATTAGATTTGATCCATTTAAATTTTGCTTAAGTTTAATTATTAGATCTAGTAGTTGTAAATAAAATTAAACTTGATTAATTATTGTGATTAAATTAAGGTTAGCTATGAGATCAGGTTAAGTTTTATTCAGTTAATTTGAGTTAAACAAAATGCAGCCAGATTATATACAATATTTGTAAAAAATATATATCGCACGTGTCAAAAAAATATTTGATTAATGACTGCTGCTATTGCGTGTATTTTATGAAAAATGTTTATTATCGCCGATGTAATTATAATATACTTGCATACAGATGTAAATACATGTTATATTACGTTAAGAATATAAAGTATAAAAAAAATTGCACTTGCACAAAAAAAAATTTGGAAATATTCAATCTTAGATTAAATATATGAAATAAAATTATAAATAAAATATCACGGTGAAATTAAGAGAAAGATTAATAATTAAAAAACGCGCGGATTGGCTGTGTGTTTCGCGAAAAAAAGGCGCGGAAATTCAGTGGCGCGAATTGTGACGTAACAGGTGGTTAAAGTGTTGTAAAACAAATACAAGATTTGAAAAAGTCACTTACTTTATTTTTATTATTTTAAATAATGTCAGACCAAATCTTGTCCCATTTCCTTTTCTTTTTTTATTTTGAATTATTCTTATCACTATCATATTAATTTTTTTGCAATGAATTAATATATTCTTGTTATCTTAAATTCATTTGTATTAATCTTATGCATAATAAAAATAATATATAGCTATAGCTATAAGCAGTTGTAATTTATTATTGTTAATATGAACATTTAATATTTTACACTAATTTTATTGATAGTTATAGTAAGCACGTAAATATGTGCTTTGAAAACACATATTTTTATCGATTCAATTAAATTTAATTAAATTGCTTTCTTTATAACAAGTGTAATATATTTTATAAACATAAAATAAAAATGGAATAATAAGAAATAAAATAAATACAAACAAAAAAAAAAATAATGTCAGGAAAAGATAGATAATTTGTCAGTATGCTTATTTATATTGATCGATGTCTAAGTACATTGAATAAGGAATTTTGAATCTCAACATAGTAATTAGAGAAGTAAATTGTGAATGAAAACTGTGATTTATCTAGAACGTGAACTTTTGCATTTTTCCAACACACATTCGATACAGATTCATCCGCATTCGCATCATTCTACATTTTCTTGTATGCATATACACCTAGTTAACATCAAAATAAATCTATATCCGGCATTAATTATAATTCCAATCGGGGTTATGTACACGACGGCGGAATAAAGTACTATGCACGAAACCCTCTCGTTTCTTCGGATCCTATAAATTTTTATCATATACATGTATATATATATATATATATACCGTTATTTTTTTAACGTTTCGAACAGGTAACTTATCTCGAATCCGTAATACATAGATCCAGCACAGTGTCTTTTCCTTCCCCCCTCCCCCTGATAGCATTTCTTTTCTTCATTAGGCACTCCTCACATTAAACGAATGAACAACGATCGAATTGCAATAAACTGCTACGTAATATTTTGTATATCTAAGTAGCAAGTGTACATGATTTTTAGAACACTGACACTGTAAGTAATTACGGTCGGGTTAAATTAATTTCTCATATTCGTTCGAAATGGTTCATCAATAGCGTACACGCTATTTTTCAAACTAGTCATTCGTTTTAAGCGTCCATTCTATTTTTGACAGATTTTTTCCACGCGTTATTGCGTTCTTTAACAATGACGAGATTAAAAGTGTTCTCAAACGCACATTTCACACATTTTTACGATCCACAATATACAATGCGTTCGAGTATCACCGTACACAACATGCAATAGTACATATTTTGTTATATTCGAAGAATTATTTTTACAGGTAATTCGTATATATTTCATCGTTCCATCGTCCATCGATACAGTTATTATATAGTAACAATACACGTAACACATTTAACACAATGCGCACATTTTCGTATAATCCATAACCGCGAATGTTATTAAATCACAATCTACCAAGGCCTCCACATTCCTTCCTCATCCTTCGAAGGTTGTTGTGGGATTGGAGATGGTGAACGAATTCCTGTGACCAATTCGCTGCTCGTATGACTGGACGGTCTGCCTTCCGAATGCGGTGGAACTGATCCTTCCGTGGTTAAACGGCCTACGAATTGCTGTTGTTGATGATGGTGTTGGTGTTGTTGTTGTTGTTGTTGCTGCTGCTGTTGCTGCTGTTGAAAATGATGATCGGCGTTGCTCACAGCGGTTACCGATGATTTCGTGCTAGATTTTGGTTTCTTGGAGGTAGTTGTAAAGTCGAGCGGTTGTTCCGGTTGCTCGAGCCTTGGACTTTTGCTTGGCTTTGTACCAATGGCTGAGATCGCATTGGTAGCGAAGGTAGAAACGGGGGCGGAAGCGGAAATGGAAGCGGAAACAGAAGCGTTGCCGGACGTAGCGGCAGCGGCAACGGTTGCGGCAACAGCAGCAGCAGCAGCATTAACGGCAACAGTGGCCGCGTCCTGCCATTCTTGTATATCTTCGTGGGGTCGTTTCGCGGCGAGTTTATCCGTAGCCTTGAGAAGAGACATGTTAGTTGCGGCCCATATGGCCGTGGGTGGATTCGGCCCGATACTGATACCGTTCGCCGCAGCGGCAGCCGCGAGTTGTACGTAATGACTAGGAAGCAAGAAAACTACCTGACCGTCGGGTAGTCTGGAAGGTATCACTTGCACGACTGACAACATATTTGGATTTTGTTGCGAGTTGGAAGCCTGATCGATAACCGATATACCGGGTGGAGGAGGTGGAGGTGGATGATGATGATGTGAATCAAGATTGGTGGTGTTAACCTGACCGAAGGCAGAAGTTGGCCGGCTGTTGCCGTTGCTACTGCTGTTGCTATTATTGTTGTTTTCGTCGCCGGCGGTAGTGCTACTATCCGGTCTAGCTGGTTCAATATCCGGAATCTCGGCTTTTATCAAACCGACCGGATTCAAAGATGTACTACAGTGTGCAGTCGATGGCACATGATGCTCCAGCGGACCGGGACTTCCCGAGCCTGTCACTCGATCCGTCACGCTTCCGGGACTGCTGCCTAATCCGCTATCCGGCCTCGAACCCAAATCCAAGTCTAATTCTGACACGCAACTATCCAAATGTCGTAGTAGCCTTTGCTTCACTGCAGGGTCCATCGGTGTCGTGTTCCCCGTAATTATGTCCGGGGCATCGAGATATCGACTTACCTGAAACGCAAAATCAAAGCGAAAGTGCAAAGTGAATGGAATATCGACAAATCTGAATCGTTCCTCATTATTCCTCATTGAACCGTGAACTCGTATCTTTTAATAGGATGCTAAGTAAACATGGGGTCAAAATTGATTTATATCAGTAGCACTATCGCCAATCGCTAAATCGATCCGGTCATGAGTTCACAATTGATAGTTAATAAATAAACTATGTTGTATAGATAATATTTTTCTAATTATATAAATCATTAATTATATCTTCTCTTGTAAGAGACAAATAAATATTGAATGAAATGTACCTCTCTGGAACAATCTTGATAGCCAGCCTTATATCTTGATAAACCAGGCTGAGCAAGAGATCTTTGCCTTTGTAAATGCCGTACTGTTAATTCTAAAATGTCAGCTTTTTCAAGTTTGCTATGCTTCGTGTTCTCCAGCCGGGCGCTGTCAAGGATGAGCGCTTTCAGCGCCGCCAACGACTGATTGATTCTAGCTCGCCGTCGCTTTTCCATTAGTGGTTTGTTAGCCTGAAAAATAATGATGCTATTGCTAAATAGTATAGTAAAACATTAGGATATGGATGACCGTCATTTCTAAAATGTTCGCCTACCAATATCATCTATTCCTCCCTTCTTCTTCTTGCTTCGCGTCTCTACTCTTTTCTTATTCCATATAATACATAGGTATAAACTACGTATCACAATACAAATAAAAGGATTTAATCATTACAGAACTGAAAGAAAAATTTTTTTATATCAAAATTCAAAGAAATTATAAGAAAATCAAAAAGAAAATAAAATAGTGAGAGTATTGAATAGTTGAAAGAATAATTAATTATTTTGTCACATATTTTGTATATTTTATATATTATATTCTAATTAACTAAATATATTCTAAGATTTAAATCTATCACCATATAATTAATATTTATATTGTTTTTACATATAGTATTTTATAAAATTGTGTTGAAAATTCAACTTTAATAAAAATAATAAATATTTAAATATTTATTTCAATTAGTTAATATATACATATATTGTTAGTTACATATAGTTATTTACATACATACTCAAAAAATTCTCAAAATTATTAATAATATCAAGCAAATTAAGATTTTTATTCAAAACTTATTTGTTATCTCAGTTTCATTAATCAAATATGGAACTGATCATCAACATGAAAAATAAAATATAAGTTTTATATAAGCAAGTAACATAAGCAATAGCATACAATAAATATATTTATAATCATCAATATTCCCGCGCTTTTTTACGTATCCTATAATTTAATTGAAACAAATCATTAAATTTTATCATGTCAAGATGTTATAATGTTAATGAAATCAAATCGAATATTATAAAATTAACAATTTTCAAGAAATTTTATTAATACATATAAAGTACAACAAAATTACAAAAAAAATACAATATAAGATAAACGAAAAAATTTATAATACAATATAAAAATAATTTACAATACAATATAAGAATAAAAGAAAAAATTTAAAAAAGATTAGAAGGAAAAAAGAAAATGAACAAATAATATAAAAATAAATATTTACTCACTCGACGTCCGTCCGAGTGTTTAGGGCTCGGGCTGAGACTAGGACTGGGACTGGCTGCCGGACTTGGTCCTTGATGTACGCTTTGTTGGTGTTGGGATTGTTGATGATGATGATGGTAATGTCTATGAGTGTTGCCGGCCGATTTCTTTTCTTGATGCCTCAACGAATGAAGACGAGCGGTCATTTTAGTAGGCCACGCAGGCCCTCCGCTGTGACGACAATAATGAGAAGGATGATAACGACAAAATTGATAATAGTGACACTAACAACAATGACAATAACAGCAACAACGATGGCAATGATGATGGTAATAACGAAGACCACGACGACGATGGTGATTTCAATAACAATGACAGAGATGACACTAACAACAGCCGCCGCGACGACGACGTCGACGACGACGTCGACGACGACGACGACGACGACGACGGCGACGACGACGACGACGACGACGACGACGGCGGCGGCGGCGAGGACGTCGACGACGACGTCGACGACGGCGACGGCGACAATAACGGTGTGGGAGTTGTTATCGGTGTCGGTGTCGGTGTCAGTGACGGTGACAGTGTCGATGACAAAATTGATTTTAGCGTCCAAAGTAATCGACTGGACGCAGCTGAGACACTCAGCATTTCGCGTTCTAAAAAATTACGCGCACTACGCTGACACTCTAATATAAATCGAAAAGTTTCAACACTGATACAATCGCTTGATTATCGTCTTTCAATATATCTTTTCATTTTTCTTAACATATTATTCAAAAATGTTCTATAGTCACAATATAAACACGCATATATACACACGTTGTATCAGCTGCAACTCCCTCTTTGCATCTTATTCCATTTCACGTATGCCTGTCGATATAATTCCTCTACGATATCACGCGTTCCTCGTGCGATCTATAAGCACAATTCGATCACTAAACTTTTTATTATACAATTTTATTTTCATTTTGATAAAAGCACATTTCGATACAAAATTCAACACCACGTGGTTTTTCATACACACTTACAACGACAAATTTTCAATCATGTTTCATCGAACATAACCGTTTATAATTCGAATTATGATTTTTTTCGAGGATTCCATTCGATATGTGTTTCATTTTCAATGTAATTATCCGTAAGAAAGAAATTCAGAAAATTGCACGATATTCGTGTCTTGTCAAGCCACGTTGCAGTCACAAAAAAATTGAAGTTTCTTTCTATCATATTTATAATCTCTCAATAGAAACTGACAACAAAAATTAGCAAGTTGAAAAAATTTGTAAACGATCTTTAATTATCGAGAAATCAAAAGGAATAACGGAAATCTCATTTCGTTCTTTCTTCCAGTTTCTATTCCTCCTTTATCTTCCTGTATCTTATGAGATCCACTTTCATCCTCACTGGTCGAGCAACGATGACGGACTGCGAATCGACGAGCGGTAGCTGGCGGCTCTTCACCAAGATTCGCGCGTGTGTGAGTCGTGGGCGAGAAGCCGGGAGCCGCACAGAGGATCGCGCCGCGGTTGGTCGTGCGTGTGGGGGGAGTTGGATGGTGGCTGCTTGCCAGAACCGCTGCCGTCAAGGGGCCGAGAGAGAGGATGAGGTTCGCTTGCCCGCTCACGCGCGCCCTTGCCTGCGGCTACGTATACCCCTCTCTCTTTCGCTACGCTCTTTCTCTCTTTTTGCCATTTCTAGCGAGTTGCTAGTTGCACGCGACCTACCTTGATCTCCTTTTTCTCTTTTTCGCAATGCCGCTTACCGTCTAACAACCGTGATGTGTCATTAAAACAGGAACCAATTTGAATTGTCTTCAAGTTTTTTTCTTCTTAAAATTTCAAATGGTTCAAAGATTGGACAGTAGATTTTAATAAAGTATGGGAAATGGATAATTCTTTATGATCCATGAAATACAATAGAGAAATAAGAATAAAATATCGGAGTAACAAAGTTGGAAATATTATGGAATAATAGAAATAATCGTTTATTGAAGATTTATACAATGCGAGATTTTTCTATTCTGCGTATTTAACGCAAAATTTTTCTTAGTAATCGATATGATTATGCATATAATTATAATTTACATTTTGATATATTGACGATTGTGTTTAAGAATTGTTCATTTTTTTCTTGATCTCAAAGAGAAAGATTATTTAGTTTTTTTGATAATTTATTCTATTATCGTATATCTTTATAATAAAATAATTTTTTTGATTTAACAATTCGGAAAATAAATTACATCACTGATCTTTGTTTATAATTCAAAGTTTCTTTTTTTGGATGATTATCAAAAAAAAAATTCACACGTTCTAATATTTAGATTTGATAATTTATTTTATTTGTCTATTTCAAACATGAAAAAATTTTCAATTATATCAACAATATAATATTAACTTGTATATTTTAATTATAATGATTCTTGGGCATCAAGAAAAAGAAAATTTGGAAAATTTGAGACATTTTTGTTACTGCCCACGATGATTTTTAATCTCCTTTTATTCATCTGTCTATCTGTGCCTACTATTCTGACTATTTCTCTCCTCACTTTCCCTTTTCTTTTTTTTTTTTCTTTTTATATATTTCTGTTCAGTCTTTCACTCGTTCTTTCTAGCTTGGTTGTCACCGTGCAAACGAAAAGGCGGCGATGGTAACGGCAGCGGCAGCAGGT